GGGATGTTTTATTTCTCCCTTTGGCTTCTCTTTCTTGCCTGAGAGGAGACTGACTGCCATCCTCTCGGTCTGGAAAGCATTGTCTCTCCCATTCAGCATAACGTTAGCTAGGGTTTGGGTGCCTGTTTATTATTATTATTATTATTATTATTATTGGTTCAAAGGGGAAGGTGGGGGGGAGAGAGGGAGAGATGGATTTGTTGTTCCACTTGTTTACACAGTCATTGGTAGATTCTTGTATGTGCCCTTACCTGGGATCGAACCCGCAACCTTGGCACATCAGGACAACTCTAACCAGCTAAGCCACCCTGGGTACTGGGTATCTGTTCTTCATCTGTAAAGTTGAGGACATTCCCTTTACTCCTGGTTTGCTGAGAGTTTATCATGAGTGGGTATTGATCTTTGTCAGATGCTTTTCCTGTATCATCTGATACAATCATATGCTTTTCTGGGGCAAATGCACTTGGCCATAGGGTATCATTCTGTGTACGTGTTGCTGGACTAGACCTGCTAATACTTTATTGAGGGTTTTTATGTTTATGTTCATGTGGAATATTGTCTGTATGGTTTTGATACCAAGGGGGAACTGTTTCCTTCTCTTCTGTTTTCTGGAGGAGATTGTGTGGAATTGGTGTTACTTTTCCCTGACAGTTCGGTAGCCTGCACAGTGTAGCCATCTGGGCCTGGAGGCTTCTGTGTGAGGAGGTTTTTAACCACAGATTCTGTTTCTTTAATAGGTGTATGGCTTAGATGATCTGCCGCCTGGGTGAATTTGTGGTTTTAGGATTTGGCCTGTAAGATCTAAGATGATGAATTTTTGCAGGGGGAGCTGTTGGCACTACTCCCTTGTGGTCCCCCTGGTGTCCGCAGGGTCTGTAGTGATGCCCCTTTTCCCTTTCAGATACTGGTGTTTTGCGTGTGCTCTTGTTTTCCCCGTTGTATCTTTTGCTAGATGTTTATCAACCTTATTGCTCTTTTCAGAGAACTGGCTTTGGGTTTCATTGACTTTTCTCTTCTGTTCCTGCCCCCCACACAGCTGTGTGTTCTTCCTGGGTGACTGCCAGGGCGACCTCCGGGGCTGCAGGACAGAGGCAGCATGGTTTGTGGCTTCATCGCACGTTGCCAACCCTCCCCCTCCAGCCACCCAAGACTTTGATGCCTGTTGGGAGGACAGTAACGACCACAGTGGAAACAAGCACTGTGCTGAGTGTGCCCCTTGACCTCACGTTACCTGTCCTCCCTGGGCAGACAGGAAGCTGGTGCAAGGGGATGTACTCCTGGGTGTGCTGGACGGAGAGATGTGCTCCCAGCCATGCGCAGTGAAGTTGGTGCCCCGGTGTTGTGCGCACAGGAGCAGAGCTGGGCGCTGTTCGCTGGTGTGATTTAAAGGGGGTGTGGGGATGCCTCTCCAGCATGGGCTGACTCTGTCCTAGGGGCTCTGTCTCAGGGAAGTGCCGCAGGGGTCTTGGGTTCTTAGCCCCCTGGGGGATCCAGGGAGCCTGTGCCTGGGCATGGGGGAGGGACGTCACCTGCCCAGCAGCCGCTCTGTCCCCCAGGTAGGGTTCTCTCAGCCTGGTCTCTCCCCTCCCCATCACAGCACCAGTGGCACCAGCATTGACTTGGTTCCTCTCAGTCTCCCTGGTACAGCCGCGTTTGTCCAGCAGCCTCAGCTCTGCCACACTGCAGCCCGGTCTGCAAGCTGAGCTCCGAGTTGCTCTTGTCTGGATCCCGAGGCCACTGCTTTCCTAAGCATTCCTGCTCATTCTCTGAGAACTGAGTGGACAGTTAGCTCAGGGGTTTACTCCAGAATGTGTAGATTAGACATCAGGGCCCAGTTGCCAGAGGACCTGCCCCTCAGGCTCCTGCCAGCTAGCCCAGTGCCCCTGCATCTGGGCCTTTCTCTGAGGCCCTGGGCCCCCTGGGTTCCCTGGAAGATATTCACAGACCAGCAGAGTGAGTCCAGGGTCCTGGGCTGGACGCACAGACAGCACCTTGCTGAGTGGTGTTGGTAAGAGTGGTGCTGGGGACACCCAGACCGAGTCCTTCGGCTGCTGGGCAGCTGGTGAGGGGGTAGGATGGCCGAGGGAACAGTTACAGGCTGAGAGGGATGGGTGCTGAAGACTGTGGTGCCCAGTGAAGCCAGAATAGCAAGGCAGGGGTGGAGCTGGGTGGCTGGGGCCTCAGTGGGTCCTGAGCAAGGGTCCCTGCAAGGGATACACCCTGTGTGTGTCAGGACCTGTGGGGGCAGAGCAGGACTTCTCAGCAGGGTGCGAGGGTGGGCTCTGTGTGTGACAGGCCAGGGCAGCATGCTGTGCCCTGTCAAGCAGAGGGCCTCTGGACAGCAGTGCTTCCCTGGGTGTCCCCTCTGTGGTTAGTGACGCACCTGGGGGCAGAGGAGCTTCACTCAGCAACGTGGCGTCTGCTTCCTCAGCAAGCCCCTCTTCCTGGAAGCCTGCCGTGGTTTCCACAGCGACAGTGTCTCTAAGTCCTAGAGGTCCCCTGGTTATGAGTGATGAAGTACTTTCACATGTTTGTGATAGATGCCCCCCCTAATAACTGGATGAGAAAGGTTTGCTGACCCCAGCCCTGCCGGGGGTGCCTAGCAGGTGGAGCGACTCTTGCTTGCTTGTGCAGGTCCCTCTGTCACCACCCACCTGGCATGTGCCCCACCCATAGGGGGCTCTCCCGGCACAGCTGGCCTGGTGGCTGGGGTCTGAGTTCTGCATCTCTATCCTGTGCCTTCAGAGCCCCATGGAGCTCCTAGTTGGAGGTACCTGCTCTCAGGACACATCAGTTGACGCCTGTCTGGAGGCCCTTGGGGGGGGACTGTGCTTGTGAGATGGCTCTGGCTGCTGTTCCCTCCCGTGGCCTGTGCCCAGGTTTTCCAGAGTCAGAACTTTACCCTACACACAGGCTCTTTCGTAGCTGCGTCGGGGAGGGTTCAGGCTGCTGCCACCCCTTAGCTACTCATCAGCCGCAAGAGATCTGTGTCCGGGCTGCGTCCTCAGTGCCAGGGACTCACCGGGGTCTTGTCAGTGTCTGTGGGCGCTTTAGTCCATGTGCAGGCTCAGGCTGCAGGACACTGAGCTCCTCTCCCGTCCTGGGACCGCCCTGCTGGACCTCAAACCCCTCTCTTTAAGTAAATTGACACAACATTATTAAAGTTTTCGCTTACCTGTGTTGGAGGAACTGGAGTGCAGTGCTGTGTGCAGGTCTTTCTGGGGTGCCAGGGTCCCTCAGCCCTGCCTGGGCCCTGACTTTCTTTTTTATTCTTGGGGTGTGAGTGTTGCCGGCTTTGTCCCCTGCGCTCAGAGTGGCCCAGCGCTAAGATCCCAGTGGAGTGGAGTTGCAGGCCCCTGCCCCGCTGCCCGCAAGGGGGCGGTCTTGGCCTGGCCGCACCAAAACCTGTGCCTCTGCCTGTTAGTTCCAGCCTGTTGTATTTTTGTCACAGGATCTTGTTATAGGAACTGTGGCAGTAGATGGGAAAGAGAGAAGGGCACCTAAAGGCAAGAAGGCCATGTTTGGGCTGGAGAGAATTCAGCATCCTGGTCCTCGAGTGCTTTCCAGCCTTTATCTGTTGTAACCAAATCCCCAGTGGGTGGTGCTTGTCCAGTAAAAGATAGGGGTCAATTCAGCAAGCAGGCCCTCCTCTCCCCGCTGCCCCGGCTGACTGGGCCAGCGAGGCACCGTCACCGTCCTTGTCACAGAGAACACAGCCTGTGAGGGTCGGGCAGGCAGATCCCGGTTTCTCCTGGAGCACGTGATGCACTGAGGCCACGCACAGCGAGCATGGGGAGCATGGCGCGGAGTGTGTGTGTGCATGTGTGTGAACGTGTGTTCTGTGTGCATGTGTGCATGTGTGCACGCCTGTATGCATGTATGAGTGTAGGCACACCTGTATGCTGCGGTGACTGCGTGTGTGCATGCATGCGTGTGCAGGGGGAGCAGGACTCAGGAGCCAGCTCCCAGAGCAGGTCGACCCAGAGCAGCCCCAGGAAGGGTGACGGGCAGCCAGTGGGGAGAACAGGGAAAGGCACACAGAAACAGGACACAGGTCCCGGAAGTGCAGTGGGGGGTTTTGGGAGTGGGGGGTGTAGGGAGAGGGATGGAGGGGGAGGGCAGTGGTGGCACATGGTCGGGGTTGGGGAGCCTAGGGTGGACTCAGCTCTCTGGGCTTTGTGGCTTGTGGGGAGTGGAAGCCAGGTTGGAATAGATGGAGGAGCGAGGAGCTGAGCTAGGGAGATCGCATTTAACATAACGCTGGACCCCCCCAATTTGTGTAGCGTCTCAGCCTGTGGCTTGTGTGTAAGCAGGGAGGTGGCTGGGAGGAAGGCCATTGGTGCCCCAGTTCCTGGAGGTAGGACTCCGGGGCTCTGCCGTCGCACTGTCCTTCTTAGTGCAGTGGGACTCTCACTTATCAAAAGCACTACCATTTCATTAAATGTAGGGCGCTTGTTTTCTAAAATTAAAGTTTGGGGGTGTGTGGAAACAAACAGGCCAAGATGTGTGTGTCCTGGTCAGAGGCTGAGGGATCGTGGCCTTGGTCTGAAAGATTAGAAAAGCCGACGTCACCAGAACGGGTGGGAGATGCCGACCTTGAGCTCAGCTGCCAGAGCCTAAGCTACCAGGGGTCCCAGCCCCAGAGGTTGGGCACACTGCTGGCCCTGCCCCTTCCTGAAGACACTGGGTCTGTGGTGACCTGTTAGCGCAGCAGCACCCAGTGTGCCACCCGCCCCAGGCAGCGTGCTCTGCTGGAGAGGGCTCAGGCTCCCTGCCAGCCCCCACCGGGAGGCGATGCCCCTTCCCACACGCTGGACCAGCCCTCTGGCTGCTGTGACCACGGGAGGTGGCCAAGGAGGCCTCCAGCTCTCAGCCTCAGGCTCATGCTGCCACCTTGGCCAGAGGGCAGAGGGCAGTCCCCACCGGTTCTTGCTCCAGAAACACCCAGTGTAGCTGAGGGCTGTGGTTGCAGGTCTGCTCTGCCACGTATAGGCTAACTGGTCTGGTTTGTGTTTCCAGGTGCTGGCAAAACCCCAACGCTGGGTGGAGGCTTCCACGTGAACCTCGGAAAGGAGTCGAGAGCACAGACCCTGCAGAACGGTATTTCCCACTGCCTGGCGGTGGTGCTGGGCGAGCGGGGTGAGGGTGGATGCAGGGCCGGGGTGGGCGCAGGCCCCACTTCCAGGAGGAATTGTTCCCAAGTCCCCCCCCCAGGCATCAGGACACCTCCCCGGCCTCCTGCAATGACTGTGCCAGGGCCGCTCAGTGCGTGGGGTCCTACCTGTTCTGTCTCTGTGAAGATGCACAGAGACACGAAGTCTGCACAGCCTGATGGGCAGCGCCACTATGGCCACTCTTTAACCGATGAAGAAACGCCGTCCAGCCCTAGGCATGACTCCTTGGGTGCTTGTCATCTCGCTGTTGGATCGTGAGAGTTCTTCATGGACTTTAGGTTCCAGTCCTGACCGGTGACCCACTGTAAGGAACATGCCTGCCTGTCGGGGGCGGGGGGCAGCGGCGCTTCACTTTGTTGAGGCTCTACCTGGACGCACAGATCGCCAGGTGTTGGGCTGTGATTATCCTTCATGTCAAAGCATCTTCTGAAACCTCTGCCGAGCTGCTTCCTCTGAGCCCACACGTGGCCTGCTGGGTGGGAGCTTATTCCCAACTCCCAGCTGATCTGTGGTTGGAGCCGTCCTCTGCAGGATCCCGTCTTTGGAGGCAGGGCATACTCCCAGTCCGAGTCCTGATCGCTCTCTCCTCAACTGGGACCTCTTGGGGTTTCTCCCTTTTCGTTTGGGAGACATTTCTCGGGAAGTTTGTTTTCTGTTTCTCTGTGTGACGTGTGCACAGGAAGGTCACGCAGTGCTCTGACTGAGCATGGACTGTGGGTCGTGCGTGTGAGTCACGGTCTCATCGTGGGAGGCGGCGGAACGTGCTCCACGTGCCCAGAAAGCCCCTGCTGTCTCCGCCGCTTGTCCTGTGCTTCAGAACCAGGGTGGAGCCCGGGGCATGTCCCTCGCTAGTGTCGGCGGTTGGCTGGTTGGCTGCTGTGTGGAACGTCGTGGTGTGAGAGCCCGCTGGTGTGTCTCCCTGTCCTGTATGGGACATTGGCCTAGGGGGACCTGTGTCCATCGTGTGTCGTCACCCTCCCGCCAGCAAGCAGCCTGAGGGTCCGGGAGCAGTGGAATGGTGCACTCAGGTCCCCATCTTTCCGGCGGGTGTGCGGGCGACTCAGAGCTGTGTGACGCTGTCACTGGTGCTCTGTGGCTGTTAGGAGGCCCTCTGCCCGTGTCATTTCCTACACACGTTTGTTTTTTTAAGATTTTTAGGTTTTGCTTTTTTTAGAGAGAGAGAAAAACATCAATGTGATAGGGAAACATCGATCACTGCCTCCTGCATGTCCCCTACTGGGGATTGAGCCCACACCCCAGGCATGTGCCCCGACCAGGAATTGAACCAGCAGCCTTTCTGTGCACAGGACAGTGCCCAACCCCGGAGCCACGCTGGCCGGCCGGCCAGGCTGATCAGGCCTTGGACTGGAGCGTGACTTACCTTTCTCTTGCTGATCTGTGGGTGTTCCTCCCACGGTCTGGGTTCGAGTCCCTTGTTGGTGCACATGTTTTGGATCTTCCCAGTGACGGCTTTGCTTTTCACTTTTTTACTGTCGTCTTTTGAGTTTTTAATTTGAATGAAGTTTCACTGTACCAGTGTTTGTGGCTAGGGTCACTGACTTGTTTAAGATGTTCTCGTGCATCCCGAGGTCTGAAGATGCTCTGCTGTGCCCTCACCCACAGGCTTTCCTGCTGTTTCACGTTAGGTCTGTGATTTACTCAAATCCATTGTCACACTTGGCGTGAGGTGGGGTCAAGGTTCACAGTTTTCAATAAGGACGTCCCCTGGTGCCAGTGCCGTCCTCAGAAGGGCCCCTGCCCCCATGCCGCCCATCGGTCACGCGATCCCGTGCAATGATGCTGGGAGGCCACAGGCCCTTCTCTGACCGCTGTGGGCTGTCCTGAGGCCAGTGCTGCGCCGTCCTGGTCCCCACGGTGCTGCAGCAGACCCAGCTGTCAGTTCCCCAGCTCCTGCGCCTTTCAAAGCTGATTTCCACAGGAGAGCTGCCAGACGTTGGGTGGGTGGACCTGCAGGTGGAATTGTGGTGGATGCGGCATTGGCTTTGCTGTGGGACGAAACCCTGCCCTTCATTCACTCTGTCCTGTTGCAGGGCTGGCTCGCCTTCCAGCTGTGCCCTGCGTGCCCGAGCCACGTCCCGGTGCCCAGACCTCCTGTCGCGTTCGTGTCTCTCTTTCACCAGGAGGGATGTCAGCGTTTCTCCCCAGGCTTCTTTGTGTCTGTTGAAGCGATTGCATGATTTTCTGCTTGTTTTGTGAATGTGGATGGTTGTGTGGATGTGGGACCCACCCTGGGCTGGGATGCGCTGTTCTCGGGTCCCCGTGTCTGACTTTCCGCCTTGTGCAGGGCTTTCGAGTCGGAGGTTGTGGAAACACGGGCCTGTGGTTTTCTGTTTCTGCCTCTAACAAGCCAGCATGCGACTTACCAGTTTCTTCCTTAAACATGTGAGGAGTTTACTGGTGAGTGTCTGAGCTTAATACTTTCTTTGTGAGATTATAGTTATAATGTTTTTTTGGTTAAGCCTCACCTGAGGGTATTTTTTTCCATTGCTTTTCAGAGAGAGTGGGAGGGAGGGAGGGACAGAGAGAGAGACACATCAATTGGTTGCTTTTTGCATGAGCCCTGACTGGGGGCCGGGATCGAGCCTGCCACCGAGGTACATGCCCTTGGCCACAATCGAACCCGGGGCCCTTCAGTCTGTAGGCCGACACTCTGACCACTGAGCCACACCGGCCAGGGCTGTTCCACTTACTGACCTGTTCATTGGTCGGTTCTTGTATGTGCTTTGACCGGAGATCACACCCACAGCCTTGGCCTATCAGGACAACACTAACCAGCTGAGCTCCCGGCCAGGGTGGCAGTTGTTTCCTTTTTTGTTGTTGCCCCTCACCGAGGATGTACTTCCCACTGCTTCCCAGAGGGAGTGGAAGGGAGGGAGGCGCTGATGTGAGAGACATCGATTGGCTGCCTCCCACACAGGGGTCCAGCCTGCAGCCAGGATATGTGGCCCTGAGTGGAATCAAACCCAAGACCCTTCGGTCTGAGGGCCAACCCTCCAGCCGTTGAGCAGGGCGGCCAGGGCGGCAGTTGTTGTCGTAACCGATCTGGCCAGGGGCTTATCAGTGCAGCGGTTGCGTTCGTCTTTCCCAGGTGTGGCTTTGTAGACGCGTGTAGTCCGATCGTCTCTTTCCTCCCGCATGTGTCCAGTGTGTGCTTTTTCAGCTTCCGAGTTGGAAGTGCCAGGGATTTTTCAAGCTTCCCTTTCCTGATATTTGCATTTAAAGCTATACGTCTCCCTCGAAGCCTGGCTCTAGCTGTAACCACAGGTGTGGAGACAGCTGTGTCTCCCTTTAGTTCTGTGGGGTGTTTAGTTTTGTTTTAACGTTGCTGCAGAGAGAGTGCTCCCTCATGCCACACCTGCGGGCGAGCGTGGCCACACTGCTGACCAAACTGCGGATGAGGCACACGCGGCGGCTTCTGGGCTTTGCCCGGGCCTCTGCAGGTCATCAGGACCCGCTGGCTGCTGTGGCCGCACCTCCGTCTCCTCCCCTGGTGCAGTTTCTCCGAGGGGCCCTGGGCAGGTGTTCTAAGGTGTGCCGGGAGTCCCAGGACACTGCCCTGCCAGGCTCCTTCAGGAGCCCTGCGTTCTGCCCGCTGTCCCTTCGGCAGCGCTCAGTCCAGCCCCACCAGACTGAGGGGGGGCGAGGATTGTGTCTACCTCCCGCGGAGCCTCCCTTCTGGGGGTGCCGGGCAGTGCTGGTGGTTCTGGGGCCTGTTTCTCCACAGCGTGTCCGCAGCAGTGGCCTCTCACGTGGTTCACTGCCCCCCCAGCATGCTGGGCTCCCGCAGGTGCAGTTGTCCCCTCCCTGTTCTGTCAGACTGTGGCGTGTGCGTCTCCGTGTGACTGCCCTCGTTGCTTCGTTTCCTCTCTGAGAGTCTGCCTGCACGGGAGACGTGCTGCCACACCAGCTGCCTCCGGGGACCGCTGCCCTGGCTGCGTCCTGATGGCCCTTCCTCCAGCCCGCCTCACACGTCAGACCTTCCCAGGCCCTCTGCTGGCACAGGCTCCGTGGTCACGTTTAACTTCCACAGACCCTGTCTTTTACCCACAGGCTGTGTGTACACTTCTGAGTCGGTGTCTTTTCTAAGATTCTGAGGCTACCATGGGCTTTGACAGCTTCCTGCCGTGTCTGCTCGCTGGCCTGGGCGGCTCTCCCTTCATCTTGCTCTTTCCCGCAGAGGGTGGAGATTCTTTGTCGTTCATGTTATACGAACGCGAGTCTTGAATTGGTCCCTTCGCTTCTGCAGCCCATGCCGGGTGCCTGTTGGCTTTGGGTCCAATCCAATCCCATTAGTGCCTTCCAGTGGGCAGTGTGCTGGACGGGTGTGCTGCTAGAGCGTCAGAGTAGCCGCTATCCCAGCCTTCCCCAGGGGTCCTTTGGGCCTGGGGGGCTTTCAGGGAGCCCTGTGGCCGGGCTGTGGTGTGGATTGGAGGCCTGCTGTCCCACACTCTTTCTCTCTGGCCTTGCCTCGGCCTGGAGGGAGCTGGTCAGTGCACCTGGAGGGAGGCCCTGTTCTCAGAGTGTCAGCGCTTCTGAGGCCCCTGCTGCAGCTCTGTTGTCCTGGAGGAGCCCGAGGACAGAGGCTGTGCCTAGTCAGGACTTGGTGTTGCAGGACGTGTATTGTTAATAGCGTCTCGTGCACTTGAGGCTGCATGTGCCTGCATTGTACGGTTTATTCTGTCCGCCTGCTGAGCTCGCATGAATCAAAAGCTCGCGCCGAGGAGGGGAGTGATGGCAGTGGGCGCAGGGTTCCTTTGGGGGCCAACAGGCCCTGAGTTGTGCTCACACACTCTGAACGTGCTAAACCATCGGAGCGCACACTTCACATAGTAGGTGTTGCAGTCTGAGTTGTGTTGCACTGAAGTGGTATAACCACCGAGCCCGCGAGCCCCCTGACTGTGGGGCTAGGCAATGGGATGAGCCCCTGCCTCGAGTGAGCACCCCCGGGGAGCACCTCTCCTGCCTTGTGGGACGCGAGTTCCAGAAGTGTGCCACAGGCTGGGAGGCAGCGAACCGGGCCTTGGAGGGCTCCCCATCAGCTGCTGTCCCTCTGAGCCGCGCGGGCTGTGTTGGCTGCATTTGTCTCTGACGTGTTGATGGGGAGCCCAGGATTGGCTCTGCTGCCTTTTTCTCTAGTCCCTTAGGGTCCTGGTTTTGTCCAGGCCTCCAGGGACAGGAACAGTGACCCTGACCCTGACCCTGACTCTGTGTCAGTTCAGCTCGGCTGGGATTTGGGAGCTGCGTGGCCTCCGAGCAGCCTTGCGGGGTGCTTGAGGGAACAGGGTTGCATGGTGGGGGTGGGCAGGGGCTTTGTAGGGGTCCCTCATGTAGAGTCAGGCTTATCCCCCAGCTGCCATGCGGTTCCTCAGGGCTGCTCTGGGTGCCCACCTTCAGGCAGTGGTCACTGTCAGGCCTCTCACCAGCTTGTGCTGGGTGGGTTGGCTTGGCCACGGGCCAGAGAAGACCCAGGATCTGGTGGAGCCCTTGCCTTCCCCAGCCACTGCCCTTGTCAGAGAGAGTGGGACCAGAGCCATTTTCTGTGGGCCGAGTGGAGGCCCCACATCTCACCTGGCCCGGCCTAGGGTGTGTGTGGTGGGCTCTGTCTGCCTGAGCATGCCCACGCAGCCGGGGGGTGGGCACGGTGGTAAGGACACAGCGCTTCACTGGCACCCCTCACCCTGTTCCTGCAGGGCCTCTGGACGTCTGTTCTGGGCCAAGTGCAGGGGCCTCTCCTGAGCAGGGCAGCACTGCCCTCTCCTTTTGGTCTTTTGGCCACAGCTTATGGGGTGGGCTTGCTCAGAAGGAGTATGTGCACAGATTGTCCCTCCCCCGAAGCTGCCTGGTGCTGCACGTGCCCTGGAGGAGATGGGGCACCGGAGGCGAAGGCGCCAAGCAGTGGGAGAGGGTGTTTCTGTGCTGGCCCTCCCTCATGCAGCAGGAGTTGTGTCCTGCAGGACCTGTGGGGAGCCCCTCCCAGACACCCTGAGCTCGGGGTCTTGAGAGAGGCCCAGGCACCTCGCTGCCCACGCCTGCCCAGGCCTAGATCTGATGCCATTTAAACGTGGAGAGGAGCGTTTGGTGGTGCATGAAAGTAAATTCGCATCCAGTCAATCTGCATCCCTTGTCCATACTCAAGGTTTTAGTGGAGCACACACAAGGGAGCTAAAGTGCAGAGGTCAGAGGGAGCTGTTCTGAGTGCGAGGCTGGCGGCTCAGGCTCAGAGCCCCGCAGTAATCGTTGCCTTGTGTCCTAGGGCGGCGCCAGATCCACCACCTGGGGAGCCAGCTGCAGCTGAACCAGCACTGCCTGGACACGGCCTTCAACTTCTTCAAGATGGCTGTGAGCAAGCACCTGACCCGTGGCCGCAGGATGGCCCATGTCACTGCCGCCTGCCTCTACCTCGTGTGCCGCACGGAGAGCACGCCGCGTATCCTCTGCGCCAGGGGCCTCGGTGGGCCCCGGTATGGCTGTCGGTCAGCCTTCTTGACCATGTTGGGGTGCACTGTTGCAGGGACTGGTGTTTAGTGGACGCATCTCGTAGGATTAACTGTCCAGATGAGTGCCAGCTTCCGGCCACCGTGTCCCTTGGCCCCTGGGAGGGATACGGCGGGTCCCTGCCACCGCTCTTCAGTGCCTTCCTGCCGTTGGATGTGTAGCCAGTGGTGCTGGGTGCATGTCCGACAGGCTGCTGCCCTCGGCTCTGCCTGCCAGCTCCGCCTTCTCTGGAGAGGCCGTGCGCAGACCCCTGTGCTCCTCACGGGTGCAGCCCTGCGGTCGTCCCACACGCCCAGGGTCCTTCTGCTGCCTCTGCCTGGGGAAGCCCGGGCCGTCTGCCCTCTGCTTCCTGTGCTCTTTCCCCCACCTGTCCTGGGCAGGTCCCCTGCTCCCGGCCCCATGGCCTCAGCGGCACCTGTGCACATCGGAGGACGTCTCCCTCTGCGTGTGCCTGAGGGGCAGTCCCGGATGCACATGGGTCTCCCAGAATTTGCATGGCAGTGCTGGAGTCTGAGTGGCCCGGCAACCCAAGTCTAGTTCTCATTTGTGGCAAGCACTTGTTCGCAGGCTGAGAGGGTTCATGGTGCCGTGGGGCACTCTGTGCGGAGACTTTGGGGCTGGGCGTCCAGATCAGCCACTGCCCACCACTGCATGGTGTGCTTTGCCCACAGCTGGCTTTCAAGTCTGATTTCAACTGGGCTCCAGCCGAGCTGCCAGTAGGCCTGTGTGGGGAGACTGGATCTAAGTGAAGCCAGGAAGCAGTGTAGAGAGGCTTCTGTCGCTGTGACTTGTCACCGTCCAAGGGAGCCCTGGGCAGGATGGGCAGGTCTGCATAGAACTCCCCATGGCTGGCTGTGTCCAGCCTGCCACCGCCTTCCGACCCTCTGTCTCCTGGGGTCAGACCTGGGCTTGTTAGCAGCTCGCTACCCTGCCTGCCCCACCTCTCACCTGTGGAAGTCACACATGCTCACAGACCTGCTGGGAGGCGCTTGTCTGGGTGCCTTAAAGAAGCAGGGATGTGGCTGGATGGAGAGTTTGTGTTCTGACTTTTAATTCAGCCTGTTTAGGTCTTAGCTAACTTTCCCATTTAGTGAAATGGGCCTGAGTTTAAGTGAGGTCCTGTCTGTGACTGTTCCTCTGGGGGTGGGATGGCTTCTCCATGGAGATGAGCTCGGGCACCAGGTGGCAAGGACAGGTGTGGGCGGCACTCTGAAAACTGCCTTGGTCTATGTGGACTCTCAGGACTGTCCCGAGTCTGACGGTGTCTGACCCACCACCATTCTCTTTGTTGATGTGTCTCTTCTCGGAAGGCATGCTCAGGGCCACCCACCCGAACACGGCAGGGATCCGAGGGAGGCAGAGGCTGGTCCCCGATGACTCACCTGTCCCAGCAAGTGTGGCCTGGTGTCCCTGAGTGCAGGATGGTGGGAGAGGCTGCTGGGAGGACACAGGCCCATTGGCCAGGCTAACAAAAGACCCCAAATGCACATTAGTGGGGAACCCCATGGGCATGCACGGGCCCTGGCCCAGGGAGGGGCACGTGGGCTGTGGACGCTGCTCCAGGAAGCATGTGGCTCAGGTTGTCCTGCTCCCAGGAGGAACTTCCTCACAGCCAGTGGGCGCTGGGCAGGTGCCTGCCCTCCTCTGAACCTGTGAAGTTGAATTCTGGCTCCTTTCTTTTTTTCCCTTTTTAAAATACATTTTTATTGATTTCAGAGAGGAAGGGAGAGGGGGAGAGGAGCATCAGTGATGAGAGTCGTAAAAGGAAGTGCCCAGGTCTCTGTTGTGTGTCTGGATGAGTGTGCAGCGTGAGACCTGGTCATCTCAGGAGGGCAGCATTGTCCCCAAGGCAGGTTCATCTGACAAGTTCTGGACTCAGCAGCTTGTGTTTGGGTTCATGTGTGCCCAGTTCTGAACCGCTTGGGGCCTGTTCTAGTTACAGTAGAGTCATCTGCCAAGAGCAAGGACAGGGCCCATGCCCGAGTCCCCACAGCTGTCCTTGAGAGCCCCAGCACTGGAGTGCCTGCGTCTGTCCCCAGCAGCCGTCGGTCCTGGGGCAGAGGACATGCCCAGCGCCTGGCAGGCGCTCAGTGAGTGTTGCCGCGCACTTGCGGTGGCCAAGCCAGGCAAGGAGATCCCTCAGTGCAGTGTACACCTGATTGGAAGGGCCCGCTTCCCGTCCCAGTCTTGGCTCACAGGAGTCTCTGGAAGGCCCGGCGACCCTGTGGGCACCTCTCTCTCTCCCCCATCATGATTGCGCCGAGCTTAGATTTCCTGGCCTGTGGGTGCAGTGCTCCTTGACCTCTCCTGCAGACATGCTCCTCGACCTCAGCGACCTGCTCCAGGTAGAGTCCCTTCTCCTCGGGGGCTGTGCTGGGGGCACGCACTGCCCTGCTCAGTTGGGAGGGTCCATAGGTGAGGGACACACGGGGGTGTGGTCTCTGGTGGGGGCATTGGACTTGGGGTCCCCTGTTGTTTGGCCAGCGGCTCAGGCTCAGAACCGGTGGACTTGTCTTAGGCAAGGGCAGTCCTTCAAAAGAAAAACAGACTCACGTACGTTTTAAGTAATGTACAAACCTGCCTTTACAGTCTGTTTAGAGAAATTTGCCACTGGGTACCGGGGAATGTTTTCCCGAACGTAATGTGAGACCCAGTCGGGGACACGTGTAGGTGGGACTCCCGGGCACAAGGCAGTGCCGGGCAGAGCCTTGAGGTTCCACATGAGTCCCCTGCCCTGTGGCCAGGCCCACGGTGCTCGCTCCACCGAGGATTCAGAAAGTCCTGTCATTGAAAACACATGATGAGTGAGGATGGTACCGGATCCACACGAATTCCACCGCTGAGGAGATAGCTTTGTCTATATCCGGTGGACTTCTACATCAGTTGCCGGTATCTGCCCTCCCAGCTGTCCCCATGTGCGGCAGCTCAGAAGTCCTGCTGAAAATAGCCCTGGAATTGGGAGAGTCAGCACTTCATGTGCAGAGCATCCGGGCAGGAAGGGCAGAAAGGCTGGGCAGGAGAGCCACTCAGGAAGCGCCTGGGCTCTGCCTGCAGGGCAGGGTCTGTTCTGGTAGCTTCTCATTTCCCAGCTTTGGAAATGGGAAACCAGTCAGGTGTTCAGACGAAGAGGGCAATTGGAGTGGATGTTCCCACTCACCTGGGGCTGGATCAGGCCTGTGGGAGTCACCGTGCTGACCTGCAGGTTCATGCTGGACACACAGACTTGCTTAGACTTAAAGCCTTGGGTCTAAGGCTGGGCTCAGCATTCAGGGCAGGTGTCCTGCACTCTCCTGGGTGTGGACGTGCCATGTGAGGGTCTTATCCTGGAGCTCGTACTGCCAGGGGCTGGCCATTCAAAGGAAATGAGCAAAACACAAAATTGGGCGAGACCACCGAGGATTAGGGTCTCACTCTGTTCTTATTCACACCCCCAAGGCTCAGCACCCCCTGGGTAAACGCCCCCAAGCAGGAGACACAGGACGACCTGGCACCCACTGTGTCCATGGGTGCTGGCAGGAGGCTCCTTCTCCCATTGTGGCTCAGCTGACGAGGGTGCTCGCTCTCCTGGGGCACAGCTGCTCGGAGGTGGAACCAGGAGCCCGGTGCTTGCCAAGCCCACCTGTAGTTGGGAGGAGTGGGGAGGGCTGCCTGGCCACACCCAGGGGTGACTAGCTGCACACAGAATGACCCTCAGACACAGTGCCAGTGTCAAGATCTGTGACAGAGACTGAGGAGGGACAGCATCTCTGGCATAACTGCCTGCGGTATACATGCTCCCCCTTTAACACCCGACTTCACCCTGTAAGTCCACGGGGAGCTTTGCCCATGGCACTCGCCTATTCACCTGCCCGGGACACAGGACAGGGGCGGCAGGCATGAAGTAGGCAGGCAGGTCCTTTCTGCTCTGAACAGGGACACGCAGTCAGGAGGGCCCAGGAGCCTGGTGGGACTCAGCAGAGGGCTGAGGCCTCCTCAGAAAATGAACGTGTGCACAACCCCACGGACACGGCGGGGGGCAGGCAGGAGTTCTGTGAGCCACGGGCTCGTGACCAGGCTTCTCAGGGGGGACCTGAGGAGCAGGTAGTGACTGCCTAGAGGCGTGGAGGGTGCCCCACAAGGACCTCTGCCTCTCCGCTCATCCCTTAGCACCTGGGACGGACGCAGCACACGCCAAGGGCTTGACTTTCCCTGGTGTCTTTTCTGGTGCCTCTTAGGCACTGGACCAAGGGGCCCTTGTCCAGGAGCCATGCTGGCCCAGGTGAGGGAGCCCTCTGAGAGGCCCAAGGCTCAGGTCTGGGCCTGTGGGGATGGGGGTGGGTTGGGCAGGGGTTTTTACATTGGGCTCCTAGAGACTGAACAGTGAAGTGTACCTCTTGAGGAAATAGAGCAGACGTGTCCTAAACACAGACGCCCCCTCGGTGTGCTTCTCCTGACAGGTGAATGTGTACGTGCTGGGGAAGACCTTCCTCCTCCTGGCAAGAGAGCTCTGCATCAACGCGCCAGCGATAGGTACGTGGGGCAGCCAAGCACACCAGTGGTGCCAGTGCTGGGGGGAGGGGGGGCTCATGTGCAGGTGCTAGGACATGGCAAGGTAAGAAATGTGCCCCAAAGCTGCCAGGAGTGTGGCAGTTATTCCTGATTTAAAACTGGAATGCTGAGGTCAGTCCTCGGCAGGTGTGGACAAGGCTGTAGACAGAGGAAATGGGGTGGGGGCTACAGTGTGTGGGGACCTTGTGTCCACCTTTTGAGGAATGCACCTGGCAGTCAGGTGCCTCAGGGAAGACTGGATCTCAGCTCAAACAGAACAGCCGCCTGTGTGCTGGAGCTCTGCCAGGACAGTTTTCAGTCTGCCTAGCAGGCTGCTCCTTCCTGGGCCCCTCTGCATCCAGAGTGCATTTCCTCCCTTTAGGGGAGGGCAGCCCTAAACCACCCACAGGATGGTCCCCTGGGGCCAGGAAGGCAGGGTCCAGCAGGAGGCTGGAGGACTGCAGGACAGGGAGGGCCCTCGCCTCCCAAGAGGCCTCATCCCTGTGAGTCAGCTGTACTTACCCCTGGGGATTGTGCTTGCGGTTTCCAGAAACAAAGCAACGGGCCCGGGAGAGTGCAGGTGGGAGGACAGCGCTGCTTCGCTGCAGTGCATGAGTGCGGGGCATCCCACGCCTACCAGCAATGTTCCCGGGGGCTGGAGCCCAGGGCCCTGCAAGTGCCACCCTGCCCCCGCCCCTAATCCGAACCTGTCATACAGTAGGGCTTTGTCTGAGCAGCTAGTGAAGCTTAATTAACCAAGCGCAAGACTCCTGGCCTTTTCCAGAGCATTCTGGCTGCAGCCTGGGAAGCAACTGTGCCCAGATGGAGGAGGCCCGGCCTGCTGGCCGAGGGCAGGTTTGGGCATACAGGCCTCCCTGGGCCTGGTTTGCGTCTAACCAGTGAGCCTTGTTCAGCACCGTAGGCCGCCTCCTCCCTCACTGGTCAGTGAGAACAAGGGCCGGCAGTACTTTATATACATGTGGCTCTTGCTGTACTAAAACTTGAGATAAACTATTTAAAATGATTTTTCCCAGGTTTTAGATTTGAAAGGAAGGTCTTAAACTTAGAACCACTCAGAATAAAATCCAGGAGGGTAGGAGGAACAGCCAGGTGCACAAAGCAGGCAGCATGGGGGCCACTGGGAGGGTCGGGGCTGCCATCTGCCCCCAAATTTGCCTTCTACCTGAGATGTGCACACCAACATGCAGTGCAGCGGGTGCTGCGAGGCCCAGCCAGGACTCAGAAACCAAGGCTCTGGCTGTGTAGAAAACATGTTTCATACCTTTGGCTACAGCCAACTGTGTACAAAAGATTTACAAAGCTCGTGAAGCCTGTCAGCCACTGCGGAGAAAGGGTGCAGCCCCCGTCCAACTCAGTGCATCCACCCCTCCCTGCGGTGCTCAGGCATAGAAGATGAGCTCCGGGATCTGCCCGCCCTGGACCCCGGTGCCGTTGGTGCTGTCAGAGGAGCACTGGAACTGGAACGTGACCCTCCCGCACTGCACCTCTGTCATGCCCTCCTGCCCGAAGTAGCTGAGCTCGCTGCCATCCAGCACGGCACTGGCCGTGTAGAATGTGTCCTGCTCCACCTGCACCGGGTGTTCAAACCAGACTGAGAAGGTGCTGCTGGAGCCGTCGGAGACAAACCTGGTCAGGTTCTGGGCGAGGACAACCCCCAGTCGCTTCAGCTCGATCTTCACGCTGTACTCAGCTTTCCCGGAGCTGGACCCGTACAGGCCCAGCCCCGCAACAAACACCCTCCTGTCCGCAGCAAACTGGATGCTGTCACAGCGCCCCCGGTAGCGCCACTGGTTGCTACGGTAGGCCGAGGACTGGAAGCGGTGGCACCTCTGCGGGGCCAGGCCCTTCCTTTTGGTCAGTGGGAAGTCGAGCAGGGGCTTGCTGGCCGCCGTGTACCACAGGAAGATGTTGCGGGTCTCCTCCAGGGTCAGGACATCCGACTGGGCAGCGCCGTTGGCAAACTCCTCCAGGGTCATGGTTGGGATTCGGACCAGGTAGAGAGCTGGCCCCAGAACGTGCCTCTTGTTGCGGGGGGTGGCGGGCAGGCCCTGCCGCTTGCACTCTGCCTCGGCCCAGTTCAGCACGGCCTCGAAGACCACGGCCTCCTTGGTGTTGAGGGCCTCCCGCGTGATGATGATCTCCAGGGTCTGCCAGTCAATCTCACAGAAGCCCTCCGACCGCAGGGCCATCTCAGCCTGCGCATCGATGACCTCCCAGCAGCGCTGGGTCAGCTCCGGCTCCTCAAAAAGCCGGCTCTGAGACAGCAGGACGCAGGCGTTTTTGGCTTCCAGACTCGTCTCCAGAAAGTGGACGCAGGATTTTGCTAGCGCGGGGACAATGTACTTCTTGGCAGCGTAGAGAGTGGCCAGCACTGTGTCTGCTTCCAGATCAATCTCGTCACTGTACATGTATCTAGGCAGGGCGGGGACCACATCACAGGCCACTCAGGGCCTGCGGACACCCGGGCCAGGAGACTTCCCCCCAGGGCGCTGGCAGGGGGCACCAGGCGGTAAGGACCGCCCGTTCTTGCAGCTAACAGAGCCCACTTACTTCAGCATGATGAGGAAAGCCGCCGGCTCCACGTCGGGGATGTGGATCTCCGGCTTGACTTCGGCCAGGTCCCCGTAAAACATGGCATAGAAGACTGAGCTCCCGACCGCCAGGACGTACTGCGGAGACAAAGCTGCCCTGAGCCCCGCGCTG